GAGCTCCCTGGATGTCTCCCCTCCTCACCTCTCACCATGCAGCCGGTCGGTACCGACCGCGGCCCGGTCGGCTCGGTCGGTCGAAAATGCGATTTTGCAGAGCTCTGCTGTATAGAGGTGTTGAGCTGTGTCCGGCGAAGAAGAAGAAAGTAAGAAGTTGTTACCTCTCCGGCCACAGCTCAACCCCTCTATACATCAACACAGTTACCGCGCTAGCCAAAAATCACACACTTTACACAGTTTGTGAGTTAAGTTTACGTGCAAAGGACCCGCCCTGCCACTGGTGCGTCTTGCATACACTTAGCACAGCTCGAAGCTCGATCTTGATGTACAGCACACGCGTATCTGGGTGTCTTTTCCTTTTTATAATATGTGTTCTTTAGAGGTTAGGTTAGATGGCAATGTGCTCTGGGATTCGACCACTATGTCAAGACTCAACACCTCTCCGGAAATTTTCCCGTAGGATATCATATACCCGTGTTTTTTTCTATTTTTTTTCAGATATGTCGTGGAAAACAGTTACTACCAAATCCATCGCTCATGGGACTTTATGGATCCCGCTTCCGTCACCTAAATGCTCAGCCAAACTTCCCCCATTGGAATCGTCTGACGGCCTGTTTTCGTGGACAATCGACTTGCACGCGGAAGATGAGAAGTACTGCAATTACGACCTAAAGGTGTTCTGCACTGCTTCCGATCAGAATGACCAATCATCAGTGAGACCTGTTTCTTGGGGAGGCTACGTCAAGTTGGCGCCCGATAACAGTAGGCGTGGTGATCTGAGTCTGGGCCCTCGATTTCTCAAGACACGTTATCATTGTGGAACCTGGAGATCTAGAACATGTGACCATGAGAATGAAATGACCTATTTTTTAGAAGCTGCAGTCACCCAGTCGGTACTAGTGCCTAAGCCTGAGCCTACGCCTAAGACGCTATCTGCATTTGGTCCTGCCTGCCTGTCTAAGAGTCTTGGTTCCTTATTAAATTCGGGGCTAATGTCAGATGTAAAGCTCTGCACAGAGGAGCAGGAGATTGCTGCCCATCGAATCATCCTTGCTGCTCGCAGTGAATTCTTCAAAGCAAAGTTCAAGCCAGAATGGGATGGAAATAAAGTTGATGTTGACGTGCCTCTACAAGTCCTGAAAGAGATGATTACGTAAGTTTTTAGCGCCTGCATACAGTAAACTAGATTGTATTTCAAAAGTTAAAAACCTAAACAGCAGTTTTTAAATTTCAAATGGCCATATTATTACAATCAAAATATAATGAGGATCAGTTTGAGGTACCATGCAGCAAGAGTTTAATTGTTTTAGTACAGAAATTTTTGCAGTTCTGTCCCATGTTAAAAGCAGAAACTGTCACTAAATGTTCAACTGCTAAAATAGTTATTTGAAGCATCTCCTTTCGCATATCACAAAATATGGTGCACTTTATCTTTATATTTTCCCTCTCAGTTACATCTACACGGGGAATCTTGGAGATGATGTCGATATGATTGAGCTTCTCATAGCAGGAGATATGTATTTGGTCACAGATCTGTGTAATGAGATAACAGAGCGGCTACGGCAAAGTTTGGTTTCTCATAACAAACCTGCTGCATCAGTCTGCTGTGACTTGTTGAAAAAAAGTGCCATAATAAACAGCAGTCCATCACTCCGAAACATTGTACTTCGGTACTTAAAATCACATCGTGAAGAGGTATAAAGTAATTTTGAGCTCTTTTCTTTCTTTGTTTTTTTCCCATTAAGCATTTCTCTATTCACTTAACATACATTTTTGTTTGAATTGATTCTTCTAGGTGCTGAAGTCTGAAGAATGGGCAGAATTTCAGGTAGAAAACCGCCTGGTGGCAGCTGAAGCCGTGTTAGATATGTATAACCTTCCTGATTAGTTTCAAAAATATTACCGGTAAGAATTAGCAGGCATTGATGATTAGAAAGAATCAGTAGATTAATAATCTGTCATGAAGATTTGCTTGTCATAATACTCATCAGAAAAATGTACATTTACTGTGTTATTTGTTCTTGAGTACTAGCAAGATCCTGATAAAATTATATTTAAAGCAGTGTCCTTTCGTAACCTTATTACCCGGAGAGTGTAGGTGTAGGCAACCATCCTACGCGCATGCATGGCGGTACAGTATAACTACGGCTTCTTCGCTATCGGCTTCGGCCGCCCGATATCCGTTGGTAGAACGAGAGCGCTTCTGCATCAACATACAGTGTGTCGTCAGGGCCACGACACAACAGTTTGCGGGTTTAGCTACTCGCTCCCCCGTAAGGCGCCATGGCCCCTAGGGTATGCAAACCCGCAACACTGTTGTGCACGGTACAGTGGGAACGCTTTTCAAGCGAAATCGTGACCCGTGGGAGTGGTAGGCTCAACCACCCCTCTCACATCCCTCACATATCGTGGAAAAAAAATAACAATAAAAAACTGTTTGCTTTTTCCAATCCGCAACCAAGCAAAATGCACAGTCGTCGTTGCACATTCACATTGTACTTGGTTTTACGAGCTTCCGCTGGATCTCTCGCACCACTATATGGGAGCTTCCTGGCCGACTATAGGCGCGCTTTATCCGGTCTCCAGGTGCTGCTGCTGCTGCTGCTGCTGCTGCTGCTGCTGCACACCATGGATCCAGAGCGCAATGACCAGCAGCAATACGAGCCTATAGAGCCGAGCGCATCCCTACCTGACGGACGGCGGGGCGGGACAGCCGGCAGCGCGGCATGGGCCGGCCGGGCCGGGCGTGTACTCTCAATGAACCGCAAGGATTTCCGTGCTCCGCGATCGGGACTCATCGGCGCGGCGGCGAATAAACAGCTTCCGCGTACCGCAGCAGGCAGCAGCAGCAGCAGGCAGCAGCAACAGCAGGCCAAGGGATGCGGATCGAGCCGCATGGCAACAGAAACAAACAGCAGCGGACAATAGTCGCGAGTCGCGCCATAGTCGCGGCCGG